CAGAAAGCTTAGGCAAGGAATGCAGTTTTCACCGTAAAGAATGATTAAGGAAGATAAGGGAGGGGCTAAACTTAGCTTAAACTGGCTAAACTGGTTAATTTGAATAATTTCAAGGACTCTCCACTGTGGGGGCTTCACCAGTAGTCTGGGTTCTGAACCTGGGCTCCTATGTGCAAAGGACCAGCAGTGACGAGGTCAGTAGACGTGTGGGAAATGGAGCGATTCATTCGCCTGTGAGAAGACAGCTCCCAGGCTCCTCGTTTGCTTTCTTGCTCAGAATTGCAACAAGCCCTCCCTGGACAGGAAGGCCCCATGTGTTAAAGTACCAGGTATAAAAGCTAGAAGATGTTAATACAATGGTGCCAGACATACAGGCTAGAGTAAAATCTACTTAGTCATAATGTGTATAAGTCTTTGCATAAATTACTAGGTCTCATTTACCAATATACTGTGAAGGATTTTTCGTTTGCACCCATGAGGAATAGTTTGAATAGTGGTTGGTAGTTTGATTTGCTAGGGTCATTCTTATCTTGATATCAGATTCATAAGTGAATTGGGACATGTTCCTTTTATTTTATGAAAGAGATTTATGGAATTGGATTTTTCTAATGAAACCAAATAAGCCTAAAGAATTACTTTTTGACATTCTTACTTTTCTTAGTAATTAGAGGGCTATTCAAATTACCCATTTCCTGATGAGCTGTGGCAGATTGAAATTCCAGTGCTTCTTGTCCCCTAGGTTGCCACATCCCCATGTAGAACTGTATTCTGTCCCCTGGCTCTCCTGTTTGTCTCCAACAAAACAGGCACAGTTTTGTTGCTGACACTGGTATGTTGTTACATCCCTTTTTGTCAGTCTTGATAAAATGGTGGAGAGTTTTATATACCTTCTCAATAAACCATGTCTTAGTTTCATTGATTTTCTTGGTCATTTTTCCATTTTAAACACCATTGATTTCTGTTCTTGTTTTCATTGCTTCCTTTCTGCTCCTGGCTGTGGCTTTGTTTTCATCTCCAAACTCCAGTGGGGTTCACGTTATTGATTTGAAACCCCTCTTCTTTTGTTCAACACACATTCAGTTTGGCAGATCTCCCAGTGAGCAGTAGGCTAACTGTGTCCTGTGTACTTTTGATGGGCTGTGTTTTCATTTTCATTCAGTGACACATATTTTTAAAAATTTTTTCCTAAAACATCCTTTGATCCGTCTATGTATTGTTAAGAATCTTGTGGTTTTGTGTCTTCAAAATTTTTCTGTTTTTTGGTTTGAGTCCCTTTACAGTTTTGAATATAGTTTTGTGACTGTATTTATTTGACTTTATTTCAGATTTTTTTATGGCCTGGGTTGTTCTCTCTTGGTATATGCCCCATGTGAAAGTGTAAAGAAAATGTATTCTCCTGTTGGGTGGAATATTTTATAAATATATAAATAGAAGTTCCCAGTGTGGAAGGAAAAGAAGCCATCATTTTTTATGCAAGTTTGAGGGAAGGCCTGACTCTTCAGATGGTCTCCATAGAGACTATCATCATCTACATCATAGGTATTGGTGATGGGGTTGCTGACCATGGTTCTGCATCTCCCCTGGGTATTTTACAGCATGTCCCATGCCTAAATGCTGCTTATTTAGTTTTAGCTTCACTAGGGTGACAATTTAGGCTGCCTTTGCTAAAGTGGTAAGGGGCACAGGTAACACTGAAGTTATAGGAGGCAAAAAAACAAAAAGACTCTGGTAACTCACTATTTAAGGCAAGTCCAGTTTACACAATGCAGCCCAGTGTTTTGTATAATGAGCATGCAGAAGTATATGCTAAATGATGAGGCACAAGGCATGGACTAATTGAAGCAAGGCTAACCCACTTGAGATCTGTTCTAGGCATACACCTCTATGAAGTCCCTTGTGATTGTGGGAGATGCCTGAGTGTGATGATAACTTTCCTTTTGCCTGCAGTTGGCTAATGTGATCAGCCAAGGGGGCCAAATTGGCAGGTACTAACTGAAAGTTTGTTCTATTTGTCATTTCCTCATCATTACTGTGCTGTGACAGAATTCCTGTCAGGACATCATGTAAGGGAGAATTCATTTCACTAGCAGGTTCAGAGAAAACACGCCTAGTGATGAGCAAAGCTTAGAGGCTGGATGAGTTTGGACTGTGGTGGCCAAAAATTGACAGATTCAGATAGCATCATCTAAAGCAGAAGTGGGGCTGGCCTGTATCCTTCAAGGGCCCAGCCCTAGTATTCTATGCACAGTTCCACAACATCCCCAAACGCCCCAACAACCTGAGAGAATCAGGAATCAAAACATTAGACCATAGAGGACATTCCAGACTCAAAATACAGCAATGAGTTTCCTAATTTTAACAATCTCCCTCTGCACCTCCCCCCAACAATTAATACACAACCAGTCTCTACCCAAAACATTGGCATATGGCAGTCACCAAACAGGAAGACCTCTCATTTGAACATTATGGGAGGGACTTGAAGAAAAATGACCCTGTTTCTACTTGAACCCAAGCTCAAAATTCCAAGGCTCAGGTTCATGTGGTTTTGTTTGCATGTTTTCACTAGCTGATTTGTGGGAGGACAATAAAAACCTGCACCATCTCTCTGGCACGTACATGACCCTGAGTCAAATTAGAACTTACAGCTGCTGTCGAGAGAGAACACTTCTTTTCTACTTCCCATGGTACAGACAGGGGCCAGTTTTTGATGTCTTTGATGACTGAGGTTTTGTAGGCCAAGTCTATATGTCTCTGGGTATTTTTTAAAGTTAATATTGTCATTATGATTCTTCCTACTGCCTCTTGAGTATTTTTTAGCATTTTATTCCACTTTACTAACTTAAACATGTAGAATACAAAAGACTACCAGAAGAAATAAAAATATTCTTATTAGTTACAGTAAAAAAAATCACACACACACACACACACACACACACACACACAGAGAGAGAGAGAGAGAGAGAGAGAGAGAGAGAGTAGTTTGTTTTTTCTGAATAAATGTTCCCTTCCTGTTCTTTTTCTATACCCTCTCAGAACTCACATTCATCATGTAAGTTATGTTTCTGAATAAGAGATCAAAAGGACCAAAAAGAAAGAACCTGGGGTATAGCCCTTCTTAGAAAGGAAGAACTTGAGGGACAGCCTCTTGTTTTTAAGGAACCAAAAACATTGCTAGGTCTCGGACATAAAAAAAAACAGCATTGGCTAAGGAGTAGCTTGTTGATATAGAGCTTGCCTAGCCTGAGCAAGGTCCTGTGTTCAAAGCTTAGCACAAGCAAAAACCCCAACTCCCTTACACACACACACACACACACACACACACACACACACACCACCCCACATACCTTATTTATGGCTTGGACCTTTCTGAGATCAGATGTAGAAGAGAAAGACCACTACTGTTCATGAACTTCCTGGAAGACAAACATCCACTCTCCCCAGACAGACCTAAGAAACAATCTTACCCAATGTGAATGTGGGTGAGAAAGCGCTCACACGTGCAGGAGAGACACTGCTCCTACAGTGAAGGGAACTACCTTCGCTGAGCTTTACTGGGCACTGAACAGCAGCCAGGCCTCCCTGTAGTACACTGTTTCACATGACCCTCTTACTCTCCTTCACAGAAGAAAAATGGGTCCAAATTTATACAAGATCTCCTTTGGCAATCACATCAGCAGAGAATGCAAGAGGTCAACTACCATGTCATGTTTGGAGAATATTACAAATGGCAAATAATTATCCAATCCCTTTATTCAGTGGTGGTTCCATTAGATTTTAAAAATCAAGATAAATAAGCTGAATAAATAAACTGAAATTCTCTAGTTTAGCCCTCAAATATTTCATTATTTCCTATTTTGTAAAATGTCTAGCTAGAAGTAAAAGTTATTTTTAAGGTTTTCAAATGTCAGCCTTGAAGTTCAGTTCCATACACTTTCATTGAAACTAGGTCTCCTTGTGGCAGATGCCTAGGCATCCTGTAGACACAGAGAGTTCTGGGAAAAGTTAATAGCCCTCTTTACTTGTTATTATACTAAATGCAAGCCGGGCATGACATTTCATACACCCACGGAGAGTGCTTAGCTGTTCCTGCTTCTTGTCTTGCTAACACATTACAAGATGTTTGTTGCAGTGAACCCCGCTGACAGCAAGCTTGGTGACACAAATAGCATTTAGGTGTTTCCCCTTTTAAATCCCATCAGTAGGGACAAACCTAATCTGCTGAAACCACACATCAAGACTTCCTAGACAAGGTCCCTCCTCCTGTAGACCCCTTAGACTCAGAGAGGTTTATTAGCATACAAGTCACAGGCTCCTCCTGTTCTGTCCTGGATTCCAAACTAAGAGCAATTTTTAAAATGCGTTTTTGGCTTGATATTTGCAAACTGTGCAGAGGAAGGGGCTCTTGTTCTGTTAGGGTGGTCAACCAGCCCTCACACAACAGATCTTGAGGATCTGCTGTGTGCTTTCAGGGTAGAGTGGACAGATCCAGAAAGTGACCAACAGTCCATATGGTCAAATCAGTGTCATTGAGAGAACCTCAAGTCTTAGATCCTTTGGAATTCTTGTGCAACCCTTTCTTGTGCAACCTGCTCACTCACCTGGCAAGTTCAAGTTCTAGGCTATTGTCAACTATTAAGGAGAGAAAATGGAGGAAAAGCAGCGACTGAGAGCTGGACTCAGGGCTGTCAGGAACTGAAGTGTGGTTATATAATGCCATGAAAAATTCTGATGGTCTGGGTCACACGTACTTCTGTGCACCTAGATGAGTCAGTCATTCAAAGACTAGCCCGGACTCTATGCACATTAGGCTTTGGAGTGGGAAGAGGAGGAGGAATGAGAGAGGAAGGCAGGGGAAGGTAACCAGGCCAGGAGCTGCATCTGAGTCCTTTCCCTGGAAGTGGGGATTTCTGCCAGAGGAGCAGGCTGTCCCCTGGGGTACTGTTGTCACCCAGAGTGTCAGTAACTGACACACTCTCTCACTCTTTCTATTTCCTTCCTAGGACAGCTTTCCTGCTCGCTTTGGAGGCGTCCATTTTGTCAACCAGCCCTGGTACATCCATGCCCTCTACACACTCATCAAGCCATTCCTTAAAGACAAGACAAGGAAACGGGTAATGAAAAAGAAGTATCTTTTAACTTTTAAATGGGGGAGAGAGGTTTCTTGGTGTGTCAGTGACAATTATAGCTATTCTATGTGTCCACTCCCTTTGCTGCCTGCCAAAAGCTTTTACCATGGTTGTACAACTCTTGAACATTTGTACCTTAGCAGGAGTTTGCAAATAATTTGTATTTAATCAATAATTCTGTAGAATGGGTTCTTTTCAAAGCACCAGACAAAACAAAAGAAACCTTGAAGGCATACAAATACCAGATGCTAATTTTGCTGCAAATGCCTATAGGAAAGTTCATGAAGCCACTTCCTGCCCCTATTTGATTTGGCTTTTGCTTTTTGGGATGTGTTTGTGTGTGTGAGGGGGTGGCACATTATATAGCACAGGCTAGCCACAATTCTTTTTTAAAGATTCATTTATTTTCATTTTATGTATATTATTGATTTTCATGAATGTATGTATGCATATGTACCATGAGCATACAGAGAACATGGAAGTCCAGAGAGGGAAGCAGATACCATGGGACTGGAATTACAGACAATTGTTAGCTGCCATGTGGGTACTGGCAACAGAACCTGGGTCTTGTGGAACAAGTGCTCTTACATGCCAAGCCATCTCTCCAGCCACTAGCCTTAAATCCTTAGTCCTCCTACCTCTGTGTCTGGAGTTCTGGAATTATAGGCATTCACCCAGCTCCTATTTTTTGCTCATGGACTATGTCAGAAGCTAGCATTTTGCCCTGTATCAGCACTGTGAGAAGTGATTCTTTATGTTTTTTTTTCCCTCATACACCTTGGTAATTGCCAGATCCACCATCTATAAGGTTGAAAACATTGTTTTTTGAATGTAACAGTCTTATAAAGAAAGCTTGATATAATAATGACATCAATCAACATTTGAGAAGGCAGCCTCTTTCATCAGAGCAGGGATAACATGACACGCTTTAGAGCTGAGTAAAAGGCATCCATTAGCTACTCTGAACCTGACTTTCCTCGTTTGTTATGTGGGAAAACTAGCTCCTATACTGCAGACTCTTCGGAGCAATTTAATGAGACAGTACATGAAAACATTCATAATGCCATTCATGTACCAGACACTTGGTGACTTTTATTGCTTTTTACCCTTTATCTTTTTTTCCTCACTAGCTTTACTAAAACATACTTGACAAGTAGCATTGTATGTGTTTAAGGAACACAGTGCATCTATTTAATATATGAATATATAGCAGCATGATTGCATCAATCATACTAAGATATCTATAGTTGTGTGGCTGATGATATGAAATTTCATAAACACACACACACACACCAGGGTTCCTAATTATTTTTTTCTTTTTTAAAAATTTTTATTCTTTGTGAATTTTCACATCATGCACCCCAGATCCATTCTTCTCCCTGTCCCCTCATATTTGTCCTTTGCCCTTCAAACCCTTCAAACCTCTCCCACAAAATACACACACACACACACACACACACACACACACACACAGAGAGAGAGAGAGAGAGAGAGAGAGAGAGAGAGAGAGAGAGAGAGAGAGAGACAGACAGACGGACAGACAGACACAGACATATAGACACAACCAAACAACGACAAAAAAAGCACAGAAAACATCTCATTGTGGAAGCTGTAGTATATCATAGTGCCCCACAGTATATTCCGTTGTCCACACATCTTCATTTGTAAATGCTTATTGCAATGAGTCATTATTCTGGTTCATGATCTCTGGCTTCTGTGACATCATCAATATTGGGTCCTTATTGGGACTCCTCCCAGTTATACTGTTATTGCCCTGTGTCATGAAGATAGTGCAGCTTTGGATTTGCAGGACTGGCCCTGTCATGAGTCCCAGTCATTCACAGATGATATAGATTTTGGGGTGGACCATCTCAGAGACCTGGACCTGAGTGATAGCAGAGCTAGCACGGCTCTGACTAAGCCACCCAGATGCTACCATCAGCAGGAGGCAGGGTCAGCTTTCTTGCTCTCACACCCTTGGGTCCATATATTCTCATTATCACAGGTGTTTAGGGGAAGGGGGAGGAGAGCACCCCACACCCATACCACTTCACGAAAGTCAAGCAATGAGGCCAGATCTCTCCCACTCTTACCCTGGAGGCTGGCTCACCTGCACTGATCCCACCAGGGCCAGCTCTGCTGTGTGCTGCAGCTGGTGAGGGACAGGCCCGCCCACCTGCTCTCATGACCCCAGGGCCAGATCTCTGGACTGCCACAGGTGGTGAGGGGTGAGAGGTGAGGGCATCACCCCCTCACACACACACCACCACCACCTCTGAGCAGGGGACTAGCAGAGCCAGGTGCTGCCCCAGTCTTCACTCAGGGCTGGGTCACCTGTACCTCTACCACCAGGGTCAGCTCTGCTATGCTGTCCAGGTGAGGTTCAGGACCTGCTCTCACAAGTGTTGCAGAAGGGCTAGCTCTCCAGAGCTCATGATCCTGTGGTCAGCTTCTCTGACTGCAGGAGGTGGTGAGTCAGAGGGGTATGAATGTGTCACCTGTATGCCTATGCCTCCCCATGGCAGATGAATGGCAGGGTCAGATCTCCCACACTTATGACCTGAGGGCTGGCTTGCTCACACTCACTTCTGGGTCCTGCTAGCAGCGCGCACTGCATCCAGTGAGAAACAGGACCAGTTCTGCATAGCTTTTGGACATCCAGGTAGTTCCCAGCAGCTGTCCTAAATAAACAATGACATCCACAAGCTCTCTAGGGCAATAGGAGCCCCAGACATCTACACCAACCCCTGCCATTACATAGCCACAGACTTAGACATTGCCCTCACCCATGGCTTGAGCAATGACCTCATCATGATCCCAGATAGCAGGGCTGACCACTTGCAGTAGGTTACTCTTCTTCACTCTCAAGACTCCAGTTCCATCTTTCTTTATAATGCTCAAGGTGTTCCACCTCTCCGTCTTTCCCTTCTGACCACAACACACTCACACATTGTGGTGGCTCTAGCTTCAGGCTAGCCATATGGATGGCAAGCCCCTGGTGACATCTTCCATCCACGACTCCTGGCATGTCAGCAAGCACGTGTTTATAGACCATTTGTGCCATGCACTACAGCGCAGGTCTGTGGGTGGCAAGGCAGTCTGCATGTCTTCCTTCTTCCACATTGTACTGCCCGGATTTGATTTCATTTGGTTTGGTTTTTATGAGTCCTAGACATAAAACATATTTGGTTTCCAAAATAGGCAACAAGCTAGGATGAGCAACGAATTGTCATCCACTCTTCCCATGACTGATATAAGAGTGCCACCACCAATATCCCTTTGCCCATTGACATGGAGGGATATTCCTAATTCTTAAGCCTAATATTAGGAATATTCCTAATTCTACATCTTGGTGTTTAGAGATCATTATAGTGGACTATTGGAGAAGGACAAGCTCCTGTTCCCAAATAAGAACAGAAATTAGAACTAGACATCGCCAGCACCAAGAAGCAGGGGACTTACAAGATATTCTGCAGTCTACTCAGGACAGGACCAAGAACCACATGCCCAACATTGTTTGCAACAATGCTTCAGGCTTCCCAGAGCTTGCATTTTCTTTCTAGTAGGGGATGGTGGAAATTCCTCCCATGGTAGACAGTCTGCTGAAACAGAACAGGTATTTCTGGAGCTCCAGGACAAGTGGGTCCAGCATCTTACATCTGTGTCCCTCTCCACTGGACTGCAGGATCAGTAGGGTTCCCAGAGCAGAGTCCTCTTCAGCATCGCATCCCATCCTTTAAGAACTGATTATGTGGGATGTGTGAGCACAAATGTTTGGAGTAAACACCAGAGCAAGCCTTGATGTGCTTCTAATACTCCAGCATCTGCTGTAGAGCTTCATAAAAGCCATAGGGTTTTAGTTTACTCACAACAAATATTTTTCTGTATTAAATTTCAGCCATATCCAACAGCAATGTCAAAAATGCTCATTGCTTTCCCAGGCACTGTAACACCCAGAAGAGCTCCACACTTACCGTCTGTCTTTCCCTTCTTTCTTTATGGTGCTGCTTACAGTACACGTTAAATGAGCACAGGAGAATGGGGGGATGGGAATTTGTTGCTAACATCCAAATATGGGTACTTTAAAACTCACATTTAAATTTCATCATTGCCAGCTGTGGCATGCGTGTCCATTCGTAATTGATGGTGTTCCACTTGAGTACCACTTACTTACTCCATATAGTTAATTGTGTGTAACTTATGCAATGCATGCAATTATTTTATGCCTGCAATGTGTATAATAACCGACATTATTACAGATGTAGTTTAAATCAACTCTCAAGGTCAATTTCTAAATTGTAGTCCATGACAATTATCTACTTATTACATGTGATTTGTGAATTTATCTAAAAATAGCAGAAATGTGAAGCTTTTCCCCCTTCTCATTTTGGCCACTTTGTATCATTATACACTGTGTGCTCAGAAAACACAAACTTGTTTGTGTATCAGTGCACTATGTAGGCAAAACTGCTGCAAAGGACTTCCCAGACATTCTTAGGTCATGGCTTTACGCTGAGTAGGAATCAATTGAGCATCTCCCTAGTACACACACACCATCCTGTAACTAAGCAAAATGCTTGTTACCAGAATAAAATATCAGCATCATCTCACTCTCCATAAGACCCAATGGAATACAGATCTAGAAGCATCAAATACAGAGGAGTTTATGCGAGGGAAGATATGCAGGGTCAGCATGGGTAGGGCCCGGGACTGATTTATGCAGGAGAAGCAGAATGGACAAAGGCACAGAATATCTTCAGGGAGAGGCTGTTCTTGGTTGGGCCTGTGAAAATGGTTGGAACTAGAGAGGTTCTGGGGACCAGAGTTCTCAGAGAGAAGAGGGGTACTCAAAACATGAGCAGTTTTGAAGCACTTGGTATCCCTGTTCCATTCTTAGTAGGAATAACTAGAAGATGACTATATGCATAAATTTGTGTGGTGGGCAAACAATGTCCAATCTTTCCTTAAACTTCGTTTTTTAAAATGACTATCAATACAGCCCTTTTCTAACCAATAAAATATTCTTTTATAATGACTACGCCATGAGCACAACCTCTTTGAACACCATGGTCACCATAGACTTTTCCAATTTGTCTTTACTAAGCTGTGTATTAGATTAAACAGTTGGTCATGTTTTAAATTTCTGTTGGTTACTTTTTTTCCTCTTTCCAGATTTTCCTTCATGGAAACAATTTAAACAGTCTTCACCAGCTAATACACCCCGAGTTTCTGCCCTCTGAATTTGGAGGAACACTTCCTCCTTATGACATGGGGACTTGGGCCCGGACATTACTTGGCCCTGACTACAGTGATGAAAATGACTATACCCATACTTCCTACAATGCCATGCATGTGAAACACACCTGCTCCAACCTGGAGAGAGAGTGCTCGCCCAAGCCCATGAAAAGGTAAGGCTCGCCAGAAGGAATGAGAGGCTTGATTTAGATCTTACCATGGCTTAAAGAATTAAAGTCTCGGTGGGCACAGAATTGAATAAAATAATTTTAATTAGAGTTTACAGAAAATGGGTCTTGGATGTTGTCCCCTTTATATAGTTTAAGGGATGAACTTTATGTCATGATTATGAACTGACTCTTAAACTGCTAGAGTCTGTGAAGATACAGATGACATACTTGTCCTTCAAGAGGCACTGATGACAGAATAACCCAGTAGAGAACATGCCTGTCATTCATCTCTTTGGAACCAAAGGAGCATTACTTGGCTGTAGCACCATCAGGCATTAGGAGCATCAATACAAATAAGATCATGATAGTGTTCCTCTAGAAAATACACCAAGAAAGACTTTAAGCATGCTTATAAAGTGGGTCATATTGGAGCTTCAACTGAAGGGAAGAACCTCAGCAATTCTGTTAAAAAGGCTGATGTACAAAGCCCATGAAACATGGTAACAGAGCCTTTAAAAGACACAGGGTGCTGTGATATGCAGCTTGAAAGTACAAAGAGGGTTTTGAGGATGCAGTAATTCCCCAAAGAGAGTTAAACTCAACTGGTAAAGTGTGTTGCATGGATGCTCAGGACAACGCCATGGAAGAAGATTGCTCTTGGTTTCTATTTTTCTGTGTTTTTTTTCCTTTTTCCTCCCTTCTTTTTGACTCTATCCTTGACCACTTGTAAATTTTTTTGACATTTCAGAAAGTCAGAGCTCTGTTTGTGCTAGCTCTGTCTACCAGTGACCTGCACGCCCAGCCTGAGCATGGCTTTTCAAATTTGCTACACAAATGATCCTGGTACACTTGCAACCCTTTGTTTTTAAGGTTAAAATCCCCATTAGTCACCATCTCAGTCCCAAATCTAATCTCTCTCCACCTATAAGCACAGAGTAGGTGCTTCCACTTGATTTTTCACGGAGTATATGCAATATTTGTTCACACCTAATAGTTTTCTGACATCTAATAGTGAGGACTCATTGGCTGCAGTTACATTAATAAATAACCCAGGCAATCTGGGCTCCTTAAACATCAGAAACATATTTCCTCACAGGTGGGACAGAGAGAGCTAAGAGCAAGGTGTCAGGACTGTCAGCATCTTTGCAGCTTCTCTTCCTGCCATGCAGATGGCTGTCTTCCCCCCTTGTCCTCACGTGATCTTTCTCCTGCTTATGTTTGAATCCTAATTTCTTCTTATGAGAACATCAGAAATGTTGACTTAGAGCCCACTCTGACCACATTTTACCTTAATGACTCCTTTCAAAACTTCATCTTCAAACACAGTTATAACTGGTGGGACTGGAGTGAGAACTCCAGTCTGGAAGTTTAGCAAGAGAGGGAGAGCATGATTATTATACACCATCTGTGTCCGACAGATGCAGTTTATATATCTAATGTGACCTAGGATCCTAGAACACTGATGTATCACTGCAGCCATTACTTTATTGGTATTTATTTAGGCTGTTGTTGTTTGTTTTTTCTCTATTTTGAACAATTGTTTTCTCTTGTGTTTGCCTTTAGTTTGTCCTTTCATATTTTAGGAAGGTTTATCTGGGAAGCCTCAGATCCCTTCCACTGCTGGACCAGAGAGCCTGTCCTCCTTAGGTTTCAGCCCATACTGCACAAGGGTGTCCTCAGAAGCGGTTTTACCAACAGTGACTAAAACTCAACTTTCCCCAGACCCAGACACCTCACTGATGCAGGAACAGAACATACATTCATGGTATCTCTGTACCTCTTGGAGTCTGCAGAATGCAAGAAAATTGAAAAGAGACCTAGGAGAGAGCACCAGTATAAGCTTCTCTGGTTTTCTGTCTATTAATAGACTGATCTTTTACTCAAGACCTGGTTTCCAGGAAGCTTCATTTTGCAGTGTACAGATTCAGACAGGCAGTGATGGAGGAGTGCACTCCTGCTGCGTGGCCATGTCAGAGTTCTGGATTATCACTGACCTTGGAATAGTCTTGTGAGATCCCATGAGTGTGCACGGGTTCTAGTCTCCCCTATGATTCTCAACAAGTGAAAGTCCATTTGGAGTGAGGTGGTCTTTTGTGGACTGGCTTTGGGAACTGACCACTTTCTATAATGAGGCTTCTGAGATTATGTGGCCCTGAGGTCTGAGCTTATCGCTGCTTTCTCAATGAAATAGTTGACAGAGACAAGCGGCTCTCTCCCCAATTGAGTGGCTGCAACAGGTGCTGCTTTCTTGTTCCATAGTGATTGTGATTCTGCCTTTGATCAGAAAGGATATTCATTACTACTTTAATGGAACTTTCTTTAAACAGAAACAGCTCACTTCAGTGTTTTCTTTAAGCCTGTGAATATCAGGGAAGAGTTAGAGGCATTACCTGCTCCAGTATTTTAAACTTTCTGGAATTTCCTGAACTTTGTGTGTGGATGTGCATGTGCGTGTGCGTGTGCGTGTGCGTGTGCGTGTGCGTGTGCGTGTGTGTGTGTGTGACACTTGCTACAGGCCATGTGTAGAAGTCAGAGGACAGTCTAAAATGCTTGTTCTTCCTTTCTATTTTGTTTAAAATGGGGGTATCTTTTCTTCTTTAGTTTTTACTACTGAGTATGCCAGACTAACTGACCCATGGTCTTTGCCCATCTCTCCCTCCCATCTCATGCAGGAACATTGGAATTGCAGCCATGTGCTCTCATATTTGGCTTTATATGGGTCCTAGGGATTTGAACTTGTATGGCAAGTACTTTATCCACTGAGCCCCCTCCCAGCTCATCATTTCTGGGGTATTTTAATTATTATTATCTCTCTCCCAGATCATTAGCTGTTTCACAAAGTTTAAGTGTAAAATAGCCCATTTCCTCCTTCCTAACTCGTTACTTCAATGTGTCTGAAGAGCCTGTGGCCAAATCTGTGCAGTTTTTTGTTTTTGTTTTGTTTTTTCTTTAAATCAGCAATGATTATTTTTGTTGAGAATGAGACAAAATCCAACTGTCTTAATTAAGAAGGGAAATTCATTATTTTACGTAGTGGCATAAGGTGTCACATTAAGGTGGCTGCAGAAATGCAATGAGAGAAGTTTAGTGGTGACACAGAACCCAGGTTCTAGCCACCAAGTCTGACACAACAGTGAGATTCCAAAGCTTACTGCCCCTGACTTGTGTGGGAAAATCATGCCCAGACAAAGGGTCTTTGTTAGCTGGACAGGAGGAGGGAGGGGCTGGGGCTGGAAACCAACAGTCCTGATGTAGGCTTAGTTAGACATGTAAGACTGAAATTTCTTTCCCATGAAGTAATTACATGACTTTTAAATTCATCTCCAGATTTTGTGCTCTCTCTTCAAATCATTGAAGAATATATATGAATTATTTTCTGATTTTAGTCCTTCTCACTGGCAAAGTAATTAAGATGGCTATAGATATGATAAAAAATCTAAAATACCCACAGAGTCACTGTCTTGAAGTAACTTGTGGTGAATGACTAGTCATTTTATGAGAAATTTACATACATGCATACATACATACATGCATACATAATACATGCACACACGTATAATTCATGGATGCATACATGGATAACACATACATGCATATATATCCATACATGTATAATACACATATACAAATATGTACTCATATATTTGTATTGATTAGAAGATTATTGACAAATTATATTAACTTTTTATCTTGCCCTCATTTGGGCTTGGGGATTTGAGCTGTCCCTTAAAGCTGGAGCCATCTGACTACAGGCACTTGGTGCAGAGGAGAGAGTCTGAGAAGGAGCTTGGCTTTCAGGCAAGACTGAGAAGGGGAATTCAGGGCTGACAGCTTGCAGCATGCCAGAGATCACAAATGACTCTTAGATTTCATTGTTTTGTTTTTCTTCTAATTTTCCGCAACCCTGAGGCAGCTGTTGACCCTGCAGCAGATGATCTCAAGATAATCAACACCATCTTTCTTTCTTGGTTTTGCTGAACACAAATGAAAGGGAGGACTTTGAAAAGTCAGGCATTGTGTTGTCCTCTGGACCTGTGGCCATGTGCAGGGAAAAGACACATCTGATTTGCAGGATTAAGCCACAAGGTTATCTAGTAAAGGGTAGGAGACAGATCTCAACTACAAAAAACTGTTCAATAGAAGGGGGGCAGTTCCTAAATGAGCATGGGCCAGATCAGAACGTATTCCCACTACAGTCATGCAGGCTGTTCCTGACAAGGCTGGCAAGAGAAAAAGCATAGATTTTAACGTACCTTCTTTTTGAACTTGAGCAAGCTCCTTCTCCACTGTATCTGAGTGCAGACCTGCTCTATTTATAGATGAATGTCCCCTGAATAGTATATAAAAATAAATGTTGTGGGAGGTTGATAAAGAAAAATCATGAGGTCAAGACCAACCTGGGTTACATAGCAAGACTCTACCTCAAAAGGGAGGGAGGGAGAGGGAGGCATTACCTTTCTTTGTATTACTAGAGATTTATGACACTTCAGATCCAGAGGAGGTCCTTAAAGGTCATCAAGGTTACAAGACTTCAGGGTTTGCACCATTAAAGTTCTTTCCCATTATTGTTCACATGCTTATGGGTGCACAGGGCCCAAATGATACTGACTCCTGGGGTGTCACTTTTACTGAGCAATAATAAACTTGTATTTCTGTAATATAGCCATTGGTGTTTCATAAGCTTTTAAAAATATATTTTGAAAATATATTTTAAAAATATTTTAAAAATATATTAAATTTCAAAAACAGATTCACTTAATTTCGTACATGTATGAAATACCCATCCTATGTAATACGAGGAAGGATGTGGAGGCGTTCTATTCATCTTTTTGTCCACTACTGCTCATGCATAATGGCTGTGCCTGAAGCACGAGCCTCCTCCTCACTTTAGGCTGCAGGGATTTCCTTCTGTTAGTCCCTTTGCAAGCATTTTGGTGATTTTTGCCTGGCACATGATCTACACGAACATTGTATTTTAATGTAAAAAGTACAAGTGCATACAT